CTGCTGCAGTTCAGCACAGCAGCACAACAATTCTGGAGCCACCTGCCATGTGCCTGGAGTCCCAATCAGCAAGCAAAGGTATCACATGCAGGAGTGATTCTAGACCTTCCTGTACAAGCATTTACTGCCTGTGACAGAAAAGAAACACCCACCATTAGCTCGTCGGGTTGGGGACCAAGTGCGCTAGCCTCAGTTGTGGGCGGCAGCGGCGTTGCTTGTGTGTGCCGCCGGCTGGCCGCGGCCTCGGTGGACGCCGCACCTCCCTGACTGCCGCTTGCTGCCCTCCCCACGCGGGCGCGTTCTCTGGTTGAAGTCGCCTTCGCCTGCTTCACTCGGGGAACCGGTGCTGCCCTCACCTTCCTGACCCCTCTGCTCTGCCTTTCGCCGCCCCTGCTCGGCTTCGCTCAGGGGAACCAGGCACGCCCTCTGCTCGCTTTCTTGCCCCCTGCTCGCTTTCGCTGGGGAACCAGCGCGACCCTACCTTTCTGCTCTGCTTTCTCTTGGAGCAGCTGCTCTGCTCTGCTTTCTCTTGGAGCAGAGGAGAGCTCTCACGCTAAAACGCCCAAACAAACGTGTTCAGGACCGAGTACTCCGACCAGGCGCTAGGCAATGGGTCAGCGCCTAGATTCCGCTTAGCGCCTAGCTGAACTTTGGTTGTGACTGTTCAGAAATAAAACACATGAGGATAAGCAAGTGAAGCATAAAAAAAAAAATATGTAATGGTTCTTCTGTTTCATATTGTCCAAAAAGTTGCATAATTTTGCAATTAACAGCATGGTTTGTGCACTTGGTGAGAAAGCTTCATTTGTAGAGCATATTCATCATGTAGAAAATCAAACGCATGGGAAGTGGGATCACACCCACCACCATATCAACCACAAGTCCATATGAATTGTCAAGTACTCCTTCCATTCCAAATTATAAGGTGTTTTGGCTTTTCTAGAATCGTTGCTTTAACTATGTGCATAACAAAACTATGTATCTAGAAAAGCCAAAACGTCCTATAATTTGAAATGGAGGGAGTAATTAGTAGGATTGTCTCCAGCAATCCAAATTGCATTAGCTATCATGAAAAACATTAGCAGCAAGACATAATTGTATAGGCCAATTGTACCTCAGGAATCTACAACGATTGGTGTCGGCATGGAGGCTTCATCTTTAGATACTTCAGCCATTGCATCTGAATGGATGTTATTTAGCACCGGCATCTCCTTCTCTCTCAAATCGCATGAACTTCATCAGTTCGGAATCTTTGCGTAAATGTCGACTCCACCAGGGGAGTGGTCACACCATGTGCATCGCCAGTAAACCAGTGTATGCAATCATTGCCCCATTGTCTATACAATAGCGGTCATCAGTTGCAAACAGCCTACCCCTCTTTCTGAGCACATAATCCTCATCATCTCCTGTAAACGTTTGCAACCGACACCACCAACAATAAGAACGTCCTTTGAATCACAGTGCGCCATTGCACGTTCAGTAATTTCAACAAGCATGCGGCGTAAGACAGTTTCCTCGCAAATTATGACTTTCATCAGTGTCGCTGTCAACAAAGCATAACCAATTATTATCCATAAGGGGAGAAAGTCAAGAGCATGAGAGTACCTGCAATGAGTAGCATAGGTCTGCAGGTGTGCACTCATTATTTTAAGCTTTTCAATCGCTCATAGCTTCAATAAAACTCAATATGCCACTAAATGACACATCCATACCCTTCACAACATAAGGAGATCAATGAATTTTCTCCCTTCTTTGCAAGCTGGACAAGGAAAATAAATACGGGTACATTAAGAAACCAAACTCAAGGATGAGAAAAGAATGTGCCATGTTGTACAAAGACATAAATCTGTTCAAAGAGAAAATGTCTTCAAAACAAAACAGAAAAAAGAAGAAAAATGCTAATGGTGACAGCCTGACAGGTAGTACAATAATGAAGGTAGAATGGTAGATAACAATATCATGGAACTACCTCAGAAGTACTCTCTTGAAAGATTCACACAGATAGAATCCATATTGTTGCCAATGTTAATAATAAAGCATTAAGAATTATACCATGATTTACCACTCCTGAAATAAATCCTGTTTGCTAAACAAGTTAAATTGCTAATCAAGTTGAGAGGTTTCCAGTTTCCACAACTTAAAGCTAACATAACTGAAATATTTGTGAATAGGCAACAACAGAAAATAGCAGAAGAGGCAAAAAACAGTAAGATATGTAACATTGTAACTTGACCAAGATTCTCTTTGGCGTGATGGCAGGAATCCCTAATATTGCCTATGATCTGAACATGGAGTAAAATAAGATAGCACTGAAGAACTTCAAAGCAATGTGGAATGGGCCTCTAATGATTATGATTTCAGCATAGCTAAAAGTTAAAGATAATCAGTTTTCTAAAAGGAAGCCACCTGGGTCGCCAAGGCGCTGAGCACTACTCAGCCACCACAATTTAGCCATAAGTGGTGATCCTAATAGGATGGTGACCAAAAAACTCCTAGCTCGGGAACTAGTCCAGCAAGGCAGCAGCCCAAGTAAGGTGGGTAGGCAGACAATGCAGTTCTATACTTCTAGTTAGAGCAAGCAGGTACCAGTAGTAGTCAAAATGAAATTTTTAATGACAAAAAGGAAAATGCTTAAACCTTGAGTAAGATGAATCCTTAATGTTATGAATAATAAAACCATAGGAACCACGATTTTGATTTTAGTTGCGATATGAAGGGAAGTAATAAGTATACAGTAACAGTAACTATCCTCTAGGATCAAGTAAGAAGTGAACTGTCTTGGAAGAGAACTGAATTAGCAGCATTTCAGGCTTTCATGAAGGAGACTCTATAGTTTGGCCCAACTTTGATCAGCACAAATAGCAAAATGCTTTTATGAGCTTATTTAAAAAAAAACATCCTGTCAAAACTAAGTGTTGTTCAGAACAGATGCAATGCTGCATGGTCACAAAGACACTATCTTGACCATTAATTACTAATATAAAGCCTGCTAATTTACCAGTGCTAAATATATAAAGCTTACAATATTCCTTTTGAAGACAAATCTAGCCATACCCATTTTCAAAAGTTTCATAAAAATATTTGAAAATATATTGGTGATCAAAGGTTGAATGCATTAACTGTAGACAACCCAAAAATGACACTTATTTTGGCTGATGGGCATACAATTGTAATAAATAATCAAGATTATGACTGGGATTAAGCAAAATCCCTTTACTGTGTCTGACTGGTTGTGGTGATTCCATGAAAGAATAACACCATATAAAACAATATTACTTATATAATCACTGCTCAGATCACAGATCATTTACAGTTTACCATGCTTTCAGCCAATCCTACAGACCAATGTATACCTAACTACCATCCTAACACACACCTTTCCATGAGAGCAGGGCCCATCATGCCACCCGTAGACAACGATCGACCTCCAAAACATAGCTAACCCAATGATGACATGCAGCAGAGGGATAATCAGAATGTACAGACCCTTGTAACATTCAGATGCAAAGTTGCAATGCAAACATAAGTATAAATAACAGACTATCATGCACTGATGTTAGTGATGTATCCGATGACATGTCAATCAGCAATCCAGAAACAGAGTGTAGCAATAGCTTCTAGTAAATTTAGAGATAAATTAAGCAGATATTGCCCTTGACTAAGAAGACCCTTATGGCTTATATGCTTACACTACGCATAAAGCTCCAACCTGTTTAGCCTATCTCCACCTTCAACTAGCCTCTAAGTTGAAGTTGAATCTGAACATAGGCCAAACAAATTGGGACATCCTGGGATTATCCTATAAGCTCAAGCCCTCTATATCCAGGGATAAAATGGGAAGGCTTCCAGGGCTCAAAAGCCTATTATCCTTCCATCTACATGGAAACACACAACCCATACCCATTATTGCCGCAGTGTCATCCAGCATGGTTACATGCAGCATATCAAATAACATCTGCTCCCTCCCACTCAAATAAATTAGCACATACAGCCAACCCAAACACCATCCCAATACATGCAGCCCAACTTCAAACAGTCAGCTAAATTTAGTCTCAATATAGTCTAATAAAGGATTGAGAAATAACGGAGCATACATAATCTTGGGATGAAGCTAATTACGATCCCATTACAGGTCAAAGTGCCTAAACGACCAAACAACCCAATGGATGCACTCGACCTGGACATGATCATACAATAATAGGGTGTTTGGTTTGAGGAATCAAACCATCCTAGATGAGGTAGTGCATCATGAGTCCATTCCAAACTAAAATTTGGCAGAATGACTCCATTCCTCATACTAGCACTAACTATTAGCTTGTGAGGACTGAGGTGATGATGCATCAACCTATTCCATTCCACAAACCAAACAAAAAAAAAGTGTGGAATGGGTAGATGATGTACTCTTTTCTCAAACCGAACACCCTATACATGTTCTTCAGCTGTATATAAAAAGCTAAATTCTGTTTGGTTGATTGTATGAGATGGCAAAATAGCACTGAGATAGTTTTGACTACCTACATGTGTTAGTTCAAGACAAAATGAGGAAACACAAGTGATCACATAGACTGAATAAATCCATGGAGAACATTGTTACGCAAGCACTGTCGCACAAAACAACAAAGAATCTGCCCAGCATATTGTATAGCCCAATACAAAAATATAACCATATGATCCCTACAATGTTTCAACCAAACATAGAAAAGTAATCTTGCCCACACGTACAACAACCCGACTGATTTGACAGAGTCGACAAACTAGCCACTAAATGCACAGCCAGCATAAGTTAAACTGCCTAGGAATTTCGTTGTGTTGGTCAATTGTTCAATAAAATACTAGTGGTTTGCCACCCAAGGCTCCACTGATAGCTAGTGGTTTGCCAACCAAATACTAGTGGTTAGGATCAGTAAAGAGCTCAAGAGGTACCAAAGCTCCACCAATAGCTCCCAGACTCATAAACACCCTTACATACTAAAGTCCTCATGGTTTGCCACCCAAGGCATTTACATGTATGTGATGCAGTGGCTGATGGTGACAAGGCTTCGTGCTAGAAAAACACTCACACAAACAAGCATCTATGTGCATGTACAGCTAGAATTAAAACAACATTAAGCCACAGCTATTGGAGAATCAAATTAGCATTTGATGGAACAATTTACCTGCTCGATGTTATAGCCGGGGTTAGGGTCATTGGAGAGCTCAAGGACCCTGGCGAATCGGTCAAGGCAGTTCCCGACGGCGATATCAATGGTTTCCCCGAAGATCCTGTACCTCCCCTCGCTGTAGGCGATAACCTGCGTGTTTCCGCCGGAGACGTAGAGCACGACGGGGTCCACGGCCCCAGTGACCGCGCGGCCCATCTCGATGTGCGCAACGCAGTGGTTGACCGCCACGAGAGGCTTCCTCCAGAGCAGGGAGAGCGCGCGGGCGGCCGCGGCGGCGACCTGGAGTGGCCCGCCCATGCCGGGGCCTTTAGTGTAGCAGACGCACGCGAGGTCAGCGGGGGCCACACCGGCCTCGGCGAGCGCGGCGCGGAGAGAGTCAGGAGGTGCCCGAGGTGGTGCTGCGCGGTCTCCCGGGGAAGGAAGCCATGGCCCGGCGGGGTCACGTAGGTGTGGCGCGGGTTGGAGAGGATGTCCCCCGAGAGGGAGACCACGCCGATGCCGATCTTGTTCGCCGACGACTCCAGCCCCAGCGCCAGCGGGCCCCGGGGACGGCGGTTCGCCGGAGACGCCGACGAGGACATGGCGGCGGCGGCGCGAGGGTTTTGGGGGTTTGTGGAAGACGAATGGGGGAGAAACCGGCTCGCGTCGATTGCGAAACGTGAAAGCGTAGGAGAAACCGGGCCAATTTTGGCCTATTGAACTTGCTCTCAGGGCCCATATAATCTCAGAGTAGCTTGGCCCATATAATCTCAGAGTAGCAGGGTCCAAATAAACCTTGCAGACAAGAGTTGATCGACTTCACTGAGTGTTTGTTTTCCCTTTTCTGTCAGCCACTTGAATCGAACCCTGATTCATCCAGAGTAATTCCAAGCCGCAGAAATCCAATTCTTTTTATTTCAAAAAGTTTTTTTTTCGTTTTTTTTTCTCGATCACACAAAAGATTTATGCGTCTTTGTATTAAGGTAGAGAAAAAGTTTAATACGACGCGTCTTAGCGGCGTCCTAGAGAGTAGAAGAGTTGTACATGGACGCTCAGACCCACCCTAACGACTTTCTCCATTCCTTCTAACTAACTAAATATGACTTCTATTTTCAGTTTGCATTTATTCATCAGATGGATGAATCCATGCTCTTTTTAATTGCTACAGTTTTATTCCCATCATGTTGGTATTTCATTGAAATGTTTAGGCCCTGTTTGGATGAGAAGTATCTTTGGAGTGATGGAGAAATAACCATCTATTAAGTTACATGACCTTCCATTGTCTGCATGAGATTGAAGATGGTTATTTCTTTTTATGAGCCTCATGATACACCAGAAAAGGATAAAATAGCTGTAATTGTGAATAAGCAAGGGCAGGTCATTGAAACGTTGCTCCGGGTCGAATATGTTGCTGATTATCCTCCTTCCCTAAAAATAGCTTTGTATGGTTTATTGCTGATTATGGCTTATCCATTTCTGAGGACAAGCATACAATTACAATGCCTCCACAAATATGAGCGAACAGTTTTGCCTCCACAAATATGAGAGAACAGTTTGATGGGCTCAAGTCATTGATTTTGAGTGAAACCCCAAATGCTTGGTATATCCCTCGCTCAGTCAACTATTTCCAGTCAGAGGTTGTTTCCGCTACAAAGTGCATTAGTTTTTTTTCGTTATAAAAAAAAGAGCATTAGTTTTATTACTGATTTTTTTTCTATCATTTCTGTTGGATTGTACATGCTGTGGGCTCTTCTTGTAGAAACAAAGATGCTCTGCTCCAGGAGTACTATATAATTCTTGTTACCGCCTATGTGATTACGTCAAATGATCATTCTATGACTACTCTTCACAATTTGGTAGTAATCTGAAAAATCTCTCCTGTCCTGTTAATATTTTTTGCCACTCAAAGTTGAAAGAAATGATGGAAGGTTCTTTGAGGCTGGATTCTGGAAACCTGCACGACATGACCTTGGTCTGATCTGCTTTCCCATCTTTATTGACTTGAATCTTGAGCACCATCAGGTCCATCTTGTGCCCGCGGTTTGCAGGAAATACTGAATATTATGGTGTGACAAATTGACTGCAGTTCTTTGGTTCATGCATGTTTCTTAATCACCCTACGCTACTACGATGGATTCAGATAGGAATCATGCATGATTGGCCAGGCGGGAGTAGAAGGCAATTCAAATGAGGCTTGTGTCAAGGTTCATCGGGTTTTGGCCCACATAGAGGGGCAAAACTAAACGACCTGCAAATATATACGAATTGCCGGTACATCCATCAGAAATTCAGATAAGGGAAAACGTTAGCTGAATTTGCAGCAGAGGATTCTGATGTCATGCTCCTGATGATGACGATCACAGGGTGTTTCCATAGTTCCATATATATAACATCATTGTCCATAGGGCGTGTGCAATTTCAATTTCCCTTGAGGAATCTTTTCTTTACAAAAAGGTCAATTGCAAGTTTATTTATTCCAACATCTGGATTCTGGAACATGTGTACCGGACGAACTGGATTCCCTGCAGGCCCAGCCCACGGATACTGAACGTCTAGATTAATGTAACTGAGACAACAGAAACCAATGTCAAAATGTCAATATGTCATGCATGCTCGTGTTTCTTGCCCGTGTTGCAACGACGACGTTTCTGAACTCTGACCGCGGTGATGTCATGTGACAGGAAAAGAGGGAAGGCACGCGGTTCATACCTGGCTTTTGTTTGAGGAAGCAGCCTGGAAGGTCGGTGGTGCCTTGCGGTCGGATGGGATGGCAGTTGCGTGCAGAAGACAGTCAGAGGCGAACGCAAAGGAAGCTGGTCTTCATGCACGGTTGGTTGGTCCCCGCCCGGGTCAAGAAAGAAACTGCGGCTCCGGTTGGTGGGAGGCGCCGGCGTTTCTCAGCAGCGGTAGCCGAGCAGAGTCCCATGGGTTTAGACGTCTCGTCTCTTTCGTTTTCCAGGCGTGATGAGGATCTTGCTTTCGTTTGGGTCAAAGTATCACGAGAATTTCTGATACATGGTTACGCTTATCGCCGGACATCTGGGGATACAAAAGCCTGGCTGGGTGGGTGGCTCTTGGCATTTGGCTCCACAAGAAAGTAGTACAAAAAATAATGTGGTTTCTGTGACTTCTATGGCCTCTTCTCTTTTTTTTTCCTAATAAATAAAGGGCACGGCGAAAACATTTCAAAAGGGCATCCACTGAGCTTTCAATGCCACTGACAGAAACATGTCAAATAGGAGAAACTTCCGATGAAGAAACCTCTCATGGGTCGAGATGGCAGCAGAATGAAGACATTTTGGCCTCGTTCGCTGGTCTGAAACTTAGCTGAAACTGGCTGAAAAACACTGTTCCGGCTGAATTATTGTGAGAGAAAAACACTGTTCCGGCTGAAAAAACAAGCCGAACAAGCCGAATATGGGATAAGCCGAACAAGGCCTTTGTAGCGAAGGATATTCATTTTCTTGTTTTTTTTTCTCTTTGTACCCTCTTTTATCAGGCTCAATCTATTGCCGAAATTCCTGTTGTCACCTTCAAATAAGCACTGCCCCTTTTTTTGGCAGGGCTAGCACCCGAACGTCCGGCCCTAGGCCCGTGCCTGGACGCCGCTCGAACGCCTGCACCCACGTCACATCGGACGCCTCCGCGCTCGCATCAGAACCGGCGCCAGCGAATCGCGTCCGGCCGTCTGCGGCCCATCCCGCACCAGCGACCGCGTCTGACCACCCGTGACTCAATCCCATCCCGGCTACGACGCGGTGTCAAGCCCGTCGTGCTCCTTCCCCCGCCATGCCGCACTCCTCCCCTCGCCGCAGCACCATCCCTGCCGCGTCCCCATCCTCCGTCGTGCTCTGTCTCGGACGCACCCCCTTCTCCCGTCCTAACGTCTCATCTCGTCTGACCGTTGCAACATGTGCAATATACTCTTAAAACATACATGTATAGTCATTTCAACATCTAGATGAAACACATGAAACATGCGACTGAAAACAGATGAAACATGTGGAACATACACTTGAAACATACATGTGTAGCCATTGCAACATATGTAACATCAGACCCTTTTGCAACGTCAAGATGGAACACATGAAACATATAGATGAAACACATGAAACATATAGATGTAACGCGTGAAACATACGGTTACAAAAGGCTCGTCGACGCGGAGCTCGATGCCAACGCGGAGTTCGATGCCATGGAGTGAAGCGGAGGTCGCTAGTGCAAAGCCCATCAGCGGCACGGGCCCCGGCAGTGGCCGCAGCAAGCGGATGGGTGCACAGCCACGATAGGCAGAGGTAGTCAGGGCGGGAGGCGCACGGCGCACGGTGCGCGGCGCGGGCGGGGGCGGACGATGCACGACGCGGGGGCGGGCGGGATCGGTCCCGTCTGGAAGGACGGACGCCCTGAGAGTATCACCATATTTGTTTCGCTTTACACGTGCATACTTCCTCATATAGTAGTTGATAGAATTAGTGCATCTAAGTTTTTCCTAAATAAAAAATTTCTAACTTTGACCATCATCAATATATCTAAATGGATTGACATATATAGCCAACCTTTTTATATTGTCAATCTATATGCTTTTAATATTGGCTCAGTGGATCCAATTACAAGATGGGAAACATCGTTGACGTTTATGTGCGTTCCAATAAGCAATCAGTAACCTAGAACCACAACAGGCAAGCTTCGCTTTTCCCTCGGCTATGAGAACACAAACATATATAGCTCATTTAATTACTTAGACCAATAGCATAATTCAAGCAACGGTGTTTGTTGTTAGCAGGAATGCTCCATAGTATGCTCCGTCTCCCAGTGGAACAATTTTACAAGAACCTTGCATTGTCATTTGCGACGGCGGCGGCGTGTAGCCGCAATCACGAAGTTAATGGAACCAATCAAAATGCTCACCCGCAAAAAAAAAATTATTATTGCTGAAAAGCATCCTTTTCAAAACAATGTATTAATTTTCACAGAAGTAATATATATTTTGACACAGGGACAAGTGAATGGTACAACGACGCATTTAGTAAACTATATGGGTGTATAAAATTCTGAAGAAAACAATAGTTTGGTGAGTCCTAGACATGGTGCAGTATTTCTAGTAGAAATGTAGCAGAAGCACATATTGGTTATACGAGATGAATGATTTTTAATGCTGACTGTCAGCTAAAGCAACCTAGTGATAGCACCATCAAGTGTATGATAATAAAAGAACATGCAAGGTTCTTTTGTTTGTATGAGGTGGTAATTCTATGGTGTGTTCCATTGCATCACCTTAAACAAAGAAAGAGCAAATTAAGTTTGCTTCTTAATAACTTTCTAGCTACAACTTATCTATGAGGAACAGGACTACTGGTTTCAACTTATTTATGAGAACGTCGGTTACCCTATATATCATTACCTAGCTAGAAAGTTGGTCCATGGATACAACCGGCGATGATATATAGGGTAACCGGCAATGATAGGTAGGTTTTTACTGCCAGCTCATGGCTACAACTGGCCATGATTGGCAGTGAAAACCTAACTATATATCATTGTCGGTTCGTAGCTATCTATCACTTGTTTTGAATAAAAAATCATAAAAATGTTGGATCAAGACAAA